CATGTTGTCAAAACCTATGCTAGCAGGAATGATTGGGAAGTGGATTCTAGCACTGTCAGAATTCAGCTTTCAGTATGTACCTCAAAGGGCAGTCAAAGGCCAGGCAATTGCTGATTTCTTGACCGAGCATCAGGAACCTCAAAGTGAGGTAATCAATATCCCAGGAAGTTTGGAGGTTACTAGCGTTTGGATCCCACCAAGAAGTGATGTTTCGGGCAAAGAAGATTGGATCCAGCAAGAGATAAGAAGAGTAACGGGCCTCTGGATTACTCTTTGGAAGCTGTATTTCGATGGATCCCACACTCAGAAGGCTGCAGGGGCTGGGATTGTAGTTATAAATCCTCAGGGGGTTTATCATTATTACTCATTCCTGCTCGATTACCAAGAAAATACTAATAATTGGGCAGAGTATGAGGCATTGATTATTGGTCTGGAAATCCTGTTGGATTTGGGGGCAGCAGAAGTAGAAGTCTTTGGTGATTCAGAGTTGGTAATAAACCAGCTAAATGGCGAGTTCAAGTGCAGACATATCACTATGGCGGGGTACTATATGGCAGCAACACAATTGTTGAGTTTCTGGGAATCTGAGATATCGGTCAATCATATTCCTAGGGGATCTAACTTGGCAGCCAATGAAATGGCGCAACTAGCCTCAGGAGTGCCAATACAGGAAAGAAAGTATGGAATAGATGTCGAGATTCAAACAAGAAACCTTCCTTCCATCTTAGATCGGGGATTTAGTTTGGATGTAATGGTTCTAGAAGCCAAGACGGAGGATTGGAGGGCACCCATCATTCATCATTTGAATGATCCCTCTTCACCTACAAGTAAGAAGAATAGGCAGCAAGCAACCAAATATGTCTTATGGGCGAAGAACTTGCTAAGAAAAACCCCAGATGGATTACTGTTAAAATGCTTAGGCCAGGAAGAATCCATGAGAGTGATGGCCGAAGTACATGAGGGAATATGTGAAGCACATCAAGTAGGGACAAAGATGAGATGGCTACTCAGAAGGTACGGTTATTTCTGGCCCGACATGGAAAAAGACTGCAAGTCTTATGCCCGCGGTTGTGAAGAATGTCAGAGGCATGGACCTCTCCAACACGTGCCTTCAGTACCTTTGAATCCAGTGGTCAAGCCTTGGCCGTTCCGAGGATGGGCGATGGACTTCATCGGGCAAATTTATCCAGCTTCCAGTAAAGGGCATACTTTTATAATTGTAGCAACGGATTACTTCACCAAGTGGGTGGAAGCATCAGCAGTAAAATCCATAACTTCCACCGTAGTCAAGAATTTTATCGAGACCAAGATCCTGCACAGATATGGGGTGCCCGAGACTATAGTGACAGACCGTGGGCCATCTTTTATTTCAAAAGAAGTCGAGGAGTTTGCAAGCAAGTACAAGATAAAGATGATCCAATCCAGTCCGTACTACCCTCAGTCAAATGGGCAGGCCGAAGCTAGCAACAAGATCCTGGTCAACATTATTAAAAGAATGGTGATAGATAGTCCAGAAAAGTGGCATGAGATGTTGGGGAACACGTTGTGGGCATACAGGACTTCCAAAAGAGCGGGGACATGCACAACTCCTTATGCCTTGACATTCGGGCAAGATGCAGTGCTTCCCATGGAGATCAACGTTAGTTCCGTAAGAATTCAAAACCAATTTGGGTTACATAGTGCAGAATATATTGAAGCCATGTGTCAAGGTATTGAAGACCTGGATGTAGCCCGAATTGAAGCCTTGAACCAGATTCAAGAAGGAAAGATAGCTGTTGCCCGAGCTTATAACAAGAAGGTGAAGGTAAAGTCTTTTAAAGAGGGAGATTTAGTATGGAAAACAGTTCTCCCGCTGGGAGCTCAGCTTCGGGGTTTTGGAAAGTGGAGCCCGACATAGGAAGGTCCTTTTATTATTAGTCGAGTCTTGAATAAAGGAGGATACTACCTAGCGGACCTCGAAGGAAATGGGCAGAAACATCCCATTAATGTTAGATTCTTAAAGAAATATTGTCCTACATTATGGGATGTTAGGGATTGTTACATTGAAGATCGGGCAGAATGAAGCGAGCTTCGGGAATCTCATATGCAGTGTTTTTGTTCATCAAACATTCAAAGAAGGCAGAAAGACAGAAATTGCTAAAATAGTATTTATTTCATGTCGACAAATTGATGAAAATTACAGAGTTCCAATCCTATGTATTACATTTAATTCTCTCTGAGTTTGGTGGTGTCTTCAGCTGGTTTCCCGACGTCTTCATGGATGGAACCCAATCGGGTGATCGGGTTGTGCGGCCAACATGAGCCTGGTAGAGGATCCTCCAACGGGGCTGTCACCATATGTGATGGTGAAGCTCAACTTATCACCGCAACTTGCGGGAAGGCAAACCATCGGGAGGAAGCCGCCCGATCAGGGGTGTTGGAGATAGAGGGGCGGTCGACCAAGGGTGTTAGAGATAGCGGTCATCAGGTGAAACCTCCTTTTCTCGCGAAAGGGGAGTTTTAGGAAACTCCACTCAAAACATAAGGAACCCATTTCTCAGTTGCTAAGAGAAAACAAGAAAGCTCAAGTTGGATGGAAGTTGAAGGCCAGAGCTAAAGGGAAGTTGGTAGTTTGATAGGAGAAGTCCCGAGCTAGATTTTATAGGGCTCAAATGACAGTTCAAGGGTCATGAGAAGAGCAAGGGGAACCAGAAGCACCAATTCCCAAGGACGAATATGCATGCATGCGGGTATTCAATCAATGTCGACGCTTGGGATTCCAACATTCACATTAATTGAAGGGGGCACTGTTTAGATTGAAACTTGATTTTTGGCCCAAGGATGGAGTCGGCCCAAAAGGAGGCCTGGAGGAATAGAAGATCAAAGCCCAGCCAAAACTTGGGAAGGCAGGACAGGGCCTTTTCTGACTTGATACAATTCACAAAGGCCACTTGCCTACCTACCCAAGGACCAAGTGGTGTAGACTGATCAGACTGCACAGCCCATAAAGTACTTTATGGTGGCATTACATGTAATAAAGCTGATGAGTCATCACCCTCAGACCGCATTCGGGCAAAGCTGTCGCTACAGAAGCCAAACCGAGTAGTCTATAAAAGGAGGAAGAGAAGACAGGAATAAAGACACTCAAACAAACAAACAAAAGCACAAACTCTGCTCAAAAAGCCAGATTTGCCTTTCAAAACGAAGCTGTAGTCAGCCCAAGCTTTCATCCCCCTCGGGATAATCTTTTCTCCTAAACTTTGTAATAGCTCTGCTACCCTGCTCTAACTTGTTGTAGTATCGATTCACCCTTTTGTATTCTCCTCTCCCCTCTCCACCTTTAAGCTTTTAGACCTTTGACAGAACCACAAAGATAGGGACCTGCAAGACGATCAGCCTTAATTGATAAGGTTTAATCTTGCCCGACCTGCTTTGCTCTGTCTTTGTCTTCTCTTTCTTTAAAGTCTAGCAATATGTTGTATATTTTTAGTTATATGCAAGTTTGTTTCTAGCAAAATCACTATGACAAAGCTTTCTCAATACTTGGATCCGATTTAAATATATCTTCAATGCTTAAATCAGATCCAAGGCCTAAGCCCGCATGCATGTAAATCTGATTAGTTTAAAAGTCCTTGGCCTCAAGGCATAAAAAGAACTTTATGTGGACTTAACCCATCCACGACAATCCTTGATAAACGAGAAGTCCGAAGTTACTTGGGGCGCAAGTAATCGACCTACCTTCTAGTTTTCTTTCTATTATATCATGATTATCATAGAACGCTTAAGCATGGGATGGACTCTAATGGAAAGCCTCAAGGCCTACACCTAAGGCCTCACAAAGGCATCCATTTGGATTCATCCTATTCAGCGATCTCAAGAGTCTAAGCATAAGAATGAACTATGATGGGAAGCCTCAAGGCCTACACCTAAGGCCCCACAAAGGCACCTATTTGGGTTCGTTCTATTCCTTGGATTCGGGTAATCAGAAATATAATAGTTAGAAGACTCCTACAATCACAAGAATAAATATGATGCGTTCGAGCACTGGTTTAGTTATTGATGGGAAGCCTCAAGGCCTACATTTAAGGCCCCACAAAGGCACCTGTTATAACTAACACGGTTTCTTGGATACATATATATATACAATGAAAGAACGACAACCATTTTACATCTGCCATGCTAAAGATGGCAGTGGCACGCCTGAGCACCTAAATGTTAACCTTGATTGTGAGCCTTAAGGCCTATACCTAAGGCCCCACAAAGGCACCTCTCAAAGTTAACGATGTCCTTCTCTTTCAGCCTTGCCCGAAGAGCCTTCCCCGAAGAGTCTTGCCCGAAGAGTCTTGCCCGACGAGACTTGCCCGACAACGCCCAGAAACGAAGCAGAAGCCCGACAGCAGCCCTCAACCGGCGCCAACCTCCAGGGGAGCTGTGTGCTCGTCGGCCAGGAAACATCCCCAGCGGAAATTCCTGCCACGAACACTATTATGAAATGAGTTGTGCTTCCTACCTAATGTGACTTGGAATACAAGTTTTCTCTTAAAAAATTGTTACTGTCCTGCACAAGTAGAAACCAGAACAAGTCAAATTGTACTGATTAGAAGCACTGGGATGTAAAGTGCTTTTTCTGAACTGTCCGAATTGAATCAAGAAAAATATGAGTTGCTGAGACTGAATACATCAATTGAGTCTAAAGAACCGCATTTTTTACGAAACAAACCTATATGTCTAAAATTCAGCTGGAAACGGCTTCTAATACCCATAGACTGATGAGCAAAAGGAGGAATCCACCCAACGAAGGGCTCGCGTCTGTCTATCTAGTGGTGAGCCACTAGCTTACCAAGGCGATGATCATTTAGCTATTCCAGGAGAATGATCAGCCACACTGAGACTGAGACACAGGCCATACTCCTACTGGAGGCCGTAGTGGGGAAATTTTTGCAATGTGCAAAAGCCTTGACGGAGCAACGCGGCACATCAACTTTCACCCATCAAAGCAAAGTTAAATATTCAGGAAAAAAAATTAAAAAACAAAGATTGTGATTTATAAACTATTTAACATATTTTATATTAACAAATGATACATTTAATTATTTAAAGCAAATTCAACCGTGGCTAATACAAAGTGAAGCCATCATCATAGGAAACATGCCATCCCTTTTGACAAGGTGTGGCATTTTCATCATACTCTTGACAGCAGCTCCATCTCTTCTTCCAATTCCCACTTCCAGTGTTTGGTCTCTTGTTCTTCTCATTCCATTTGTACACAATTACTCCAGACTTGTCACTCCACTCTCCATCAATCCCTTGGTGTGGTGGAGCTAGAGCAAATAATCCTTTCTCCCCTACAAAACCATATCCAATTATCAACATAAAGATTTAAGCACGCTCCGAAACTAAGAAAATAACTTTTGGTCAAATCTTATTCTATTTTTCTCTATCTCCCTTAATGATTCAATCCCATTAGAAAAATTGACCAAATAACTAAATATTGTGTAATATCCATGTTAGCCAGAACTAGAGACGATAACGTTTATGTAATGTGATTTTAAATTTAACCGGATTCTAGCTCACGTTGCTGGAGATGCTAGGAAAGTGATTTATGACACTTATTTTCTCCTTTTGCACACCGTCTTAATTTTAGCGCTTAATTCTCCTTTGAATTGTATAATCTAATCCAATTGCTAGAAGAAAAAGAAATAGTATATGCACAGTGCGAAAAAATAATGTGCGGAAATCATTTTCCTAAATTTGGTTAGTTTTTGTATTATTGATATTGATGTCAATCAATCAAAAGGAAACACGCTTTTAGTAAAAGCCCACAAGATCCCAATTAACATGTGGGTGAGAAACTGAAAGGGGAAATTAACATGTGGATGATTGTGGTATGAAGATTATAATTACCAGTAGTGTGGCCGTGGAAGGAGCAAGCAGTAGGGGAATTGTCGTGGTCTGAGTAAAGGGTGCTGCATCTCAAGCACGGCTTCTTCTTCGTCTGGATTTGGGATGAGCTTGTTTTGCTATCACTATTACTTGAGCAACTCTTGACCGTCAAACCACTTGACTGCCTGCATAAGAAGATTTGAGTAATGCCCGAAGATAGAGCCATGAAAAATACTCGGTCTATTGTGTGTATTAGACAGAGAGGAGGAGATAATATGACATATGGAAAATGGAAATTAAGTTGGGGTCGTGTTTTTTTTTTTTTGGGGGCGGCGGGCCGGGGTGGGGGGGGGGACGTTGAGGGGGGCCCTAAGGGGGGCCCTAAAAAAAATTGTCACTTATGTTGTAAATAGTGAGTATGTTTACTCACATGTATACAGTAAAGATTCATATGCTAAATAGTGAAGTTTTTGTAAGTTTTCAAGGCAGTTGCTCTATAAATAGAGCACTACGAGTGTTCAAAACACACGGATACAAAAAGCAATAAGAGAAGAAAGATAAGTTAGAATATTTTCTGCATTCTCCTATTTTTCTTTTACCTGCAATCATAGTTAATAAACAAAACAGTGTGATATATTACATATGCTTCACTCTTGCTCTTAGCAAAGGTTATTTCTCTAACTTTTGCCTATTTATAACACGTTATCAGCACAACTCTCTAACCCTAAAACATTTTCTCATTTCTCTCCGCCGAAAGAAAAAAAAAAGTTTCCTTCAAGGATTTTACTATTTTTCTTCTTCCTCTGCCTCACCTACTGGTTATACCCTCGTGAAGAATTGTTCACACCATGCCTGCTTTTAGTTCTCAACATAACATTTACTTATATCTTTGATTTCTTGCTTGGTGCAGTTCCTAATTTCTAAACCAATGTTTATTTATCTTTGCTGTGATCAAAGATGGTGCGATATCATCGCCCATCTTGGACTGTAGATTTAATTTTACTGCAAATTTTAGATGGATCGGTATAATCGCCCACCCTACCTTGCATATTTAAATTTGCCTGCTATTTAATTTTATTGCAATTTTAGGTGGTGTGGTATAATCACCCACTCTGCTTTGCATATTTAAATTTCTAATGCTTGAGTGGTGCGGAATAATCGCCCATCATATGCTATTCAATGAGAATGGTGCGGTACAATCGCCCTCCTCATTCATCATGTAAATCTCGAGCCTGAAGTTTCAAGTGCTTATCATTTTGGCCTGAAGATTAAAATGAAAAATTTGTAAGAACCATAAGTTTTAACAATATATTCCTTCAGAATACACATTATTGCAAGTTCTTACACACCTTATTTTTCTTTCAGAAAAGAAAATTGCGAACTTGGCAAAACTTGATTTTTTTGCCCTGGATATTACTGGGAAGAATTACCTTACCTGGGTAATGGATGCCAAGATTCATCTAGAGGCAGCGAATCTTGGAGAAACTATTAAGGAGGATAACAGTGCATCTTCTCAAGATCGGGCAAAGGCCATGATCTTTATCTGTTGCCACATTGATGAGGGACTGAAGAGCGAGTACCTCATGGTTGAAGATCCACTAATCATCTGGAAGGCACTGAAAAATAGATACAATTACCAGAAAACGGTGATTCTTCCAAGAGCTCTTTATGAGTGGACTCACCTAAGGATCCAGGATTTTAAGACGGTGGCTGAGTACAATTCTGCTATGTTCAGAATTACCTCCCAATTGAAGCTCTGTGGAGAAACCATTACTGAGGAAGACATGCTGGAAAAGATTTTTAGCATTTTTCATGCCTCCAACATACTCCTGCAACAGCAGTATAGAGAACGAGACTTTATTCAGTACAACCAGTTGATATCTGTGCTCCTTGTAGCTGAGCAAAACAATGAGCTTCTGATGAAGAATCATCAGTCTTGACCTACTGGATCAGCACTATTCCCAGAAGTGAATGTTGTTTCCCTTGATGGGAATACCACATCCTCTCATGGCAATAATTACAAACGAGGACGTGGCTACAAGCAAGGCCAAAAGGGCAAGAACCATGGTGTCCAGTTTCACAACCAGGTTCCTACAGGCCCGAGCTTTAAAAATGCAAATTGCCAGAAAGGCAAAGCTCATATGAACACTTCTAGAAATTTTGAAGGAGTTTACCATAGGTGTGGTGGCAATGGGCACTAGGCACATACCTATTGTACCCCAAAACATCTAGTGGATCTGTATCAAGCCTCCCTCAAGGAGAAGGGTGTTGAGACCAATTTTCTCGACCAGGCTCAACAGATGGATATACCTGATCCAGTGTTGATTTATTAGGACAATTGAACACAACCCACCTGAATGTTTCAGACTTCATTATTGAAAGAGGGAATGAAGTGTTTGGGTTCGATTAAATCATTTATGTTTGATGTACTCTTGCTATTTGCACTTGTGATTTAATGCTTGCACTTTCAATTCAATAAAAGTAGTATTCCAGTATGAATAAACTGCTTTTAATTGTAATTTCCATTACTCAGAAAGCATGAATAAAAATTATCGTTATTCTCAAAACAAGAGCAATGGTGGAGATTTTTTTTCTTGCAGACAGCGCAACCACACATACAATACTTCGAAATCGAAAGTATTTCTCGAACTTGATACTTGCAAAAGTAAAGGTAACAACAATATCAGGGCAATCAGATGTAATTGAAGGCTCAGGAAAAGGCCAGATCATGTTACCAAATGGAACAATATTGTTCATACAAAATGCGTTATTCGCTACTCGATCTACTCGAAATTTGTTGAGTTTTAGAGACATACATCTAAATGGATACCACATTGAAACAAAAAGTGCAGAAAATGTGGAATATCTAAACATTACCTCCAATGATACCCAGAAGCGTATATTGGAGAAGTTGCATGGTTTATCAAATGGATTGTATTATACATACATAAAGACAATTGAGGCACATACTGTCATGAACTAGAAGTTCATTGATTCAAAAGTTTATATGCTTTGGCATGATAGTCTAGGTCATCCAGAATCTACCATGATGCGTAGAATCATTACCAACTCTAATGAACATCCATTATTGAGCAAACACATTAATGTCTCAAATGATAACCCTTGCAAGGCTTGTTCCAAAAGGAAGTTGGTAATTAGACCATCACAACTAAAGGTTGATGCTGAATCCCCATCATTTTTGCAGAATTCAAGGGGATATTTGTGGGCCTATTCAACCACCTTGTGGACCATTTCGATATTTTATGGTTTTGGTTGATGCATCTACCTGATGGTCACATGTTTGCCTATTGTCTACTCGAAATGTAGTGTTTGCAAGATTTCTTGCTCAAATAATAAAGTTGCGAGCACAATTCCCAGATTATCCCATTAAGTCAATCCAACTTGATAACGCTGGTGAATTTACGTCTCAAACCTTTGATGATTACTACATGACACTGGGCATTGATGTTGAACACTCTGTTCCTCATGTCCATACTCAAAATGGCTTAGCAGAGGTATTTATCAAGCGACTTCAATTAATAGCTCGCACTCTGCTCATGAAAACAAAATTACCAATCTCTACATGGGGACATGCTACATCATTGGTTCGGTTGAGACCCATAGCCAACCACCAATACTCATCAATACAACTCGTGTTTAGGCATCAGCCAAACATTTCACATTTACGAGTTTTTAGTTATGCTATTTATGTGCCTATTGCACCACCACAACGCACTAAAATGGGACCTCAGCGCAGATTGAGAATTTATGTGAGTTTTGATTCACCATCTATCATTAGATATTTAGAACCCTTAACAGGTGATATATTTACAGCTTGTTTTGCTGATTGTCACTTTGATGAGATAGTCTTCCCGTCGTTAGGGGAGAAAAGACCGTTCCAAAAGAACAACAAGAGCTGACATGAGTTGTTCCCACTTTATCTCATTTTGATCCACGAAGCACTCAATGTGAAGATGAAGTGAAAATGATTGTTCATCTTCAAATTATTGCTAATCAAATGCCAGATGCATTTAATGATGTTTCGAAAGTGACAAAGTCATATATACCAGCTGCAAATGCACCTGTAAGAATTGATGTCCCTGTTGGACAAAATAAGGTGGTAGCGAATGATTCATCTGGTGCACGCCTGAAGCGTGGTAAACCACCATATTCAAAAGATTCAGCCCCTCGAAAGAGAAAGATGATGGCACAGCTGAATCCAAATGAAATCATTCAGGAAAAGAAATTGAAAGATAAATCCACAATTCATGATTCTAAATTTTCTGAAAAAGAAAATGTCCTTGATGAGACACATGTCCTTAAAGAGATAGAAGTACATGAAAGCAAAGAAATCTCCTTAAATTATGTATGTGCTAATGAATTGTGGGATCAAAATGGAGTAATCATCAACGATATGTTCACTTTCGCAATAGCCACTGAAATCATATTAAGCGATGACATTGAGCCCCGCTCTGTTGATGAATGCAAACAGAGACATGATTGGCCTAAATGGAAAGATGCAATCCAGGCAGAATTAAATTCCTTGGAAATGCGAAGTGTTTTTGGACAAGTAGTCCAAACCCCGCCTGGTGTGAACTCCGTAGGTTACAAATGGGTATTCACAAGGAAACGCAACGAGAAAAACAAGATTGCAAGATATAAAGCAAGACTCGTTGCACAAGGTTTTTCACAAAGACCTGGAATTGATTATGAAGAGAAATACTTTCCTATAATGGACACAATTAGGTTCCGTTACTTAATAAGTTTAGTGGTTTTAGAAAAACTTGATATGCGACTTATGGATGTCATCACTGCATATCTATATGGAGAATTAGATACTGACATATATATGAAAGTCCCAAAAGGACTTAAGTTGCATGAAACGACTAACAAACCACGAAGTATGTTCTCAATCAAATTAAGGCAATCATTATATAGGCTGAAACAATCTGGGCGAATGTGGTATAATCGTCTCAGTGAGTATTTGATCAAAGAAGGCTGTTTGTACCATACTTGACCAATCCCAAAACTACTGAGCACCGGTCAATGTTATACCGTCAAGGACCCAGAAGAGTTTCCCCTCCAACCAGGAGGCCAATCACAGAGCGACACATGTTGACATCAGAAGCCAATCATAGCGCGACATGTGTCAACATCAAAAGCCAATCACAACACAACACGTGTCAATGTCAGAATGAAACTAGAAACTCTATTCTATAAATAGAGATCATTCTCTCACAATATTTCCTAATGTCATTTGTACTAAATCATTCACTAGTACTCACAAAATGAGAGTTTGAACCTATGTACTTGTGTAAACCCTTCACAATTAATGAGAACTCCTTTACTCCGTGGACGTAGCCAATTTGGGTGAACCACGTACATCTTGTGTTTGCTTCCTTATCCTTATCCATTTACGTACTTATCCACACTAGTGACCGAAGCAATCTAGCGAAGGTCACAAACTTAACACTTTCTGTTGTACCAAAGTCCTCGCTGATTTTGTGCATCAACATTTGGTGCCGTCTGTGGGAACGACACTTATTCCCACTCTCTTCAGCTTTGCCAAGCTGGTTTCCACCATTCGTACACTCTCTTTTGACCAGGCATCCCTCTCCAACATGGGGAGCGAAAGAAGCCACAACATACAGAATGACACCCCTCTTGTACCTAGTGCGAAGCAACGAAAGAATGAATGAAAGAAGGTTGCTCTTCAAGCTAAAGTTGATGAGCTAGAAGCTCAGAACAACAAGATAGTAATGAAGAATGAGGTCCTCCAAGAGCAGTATGAGAAGCTCTTTGAGACGCTTCACGAAACTAGGCGTACTCAAACACGCGAGCTCGTTGCCCCTATGGACATCAACCAGCATCTGGGTGCCCCCCAACATGGAGGGTCACTTCCCGTCGACATGGGTATCCCTGATGAAGAGCGAGCTAATCATCAAAACATTGATCAACATGAGACTTCTCTCAACCCAGATGCTTCGACCCGAAGTAGAAGAAGTGGAGGAAGACACTTCCTTGCAGAAGGGTTGGAATGATCGAAAGCCGTTTATCGTGACTGCCGAGACTTTCTAAAGCAACGTCGAGAGAATCCCCTCCACATATGCTTGAAGATCAATGACCCAATAGTTTCTGAAAGACTCGGTCCCCTCCCACGACCCAGGCAAACTGCCAATTTAAGGAAGGAATGACAGGTCCTAGAGGAACATGAAGGTACGGGGGACTCTGAGGTATTCCGACAGACTCGCCTTAGAAGTCAGTACGGCAAGTCTAAGAAAAAACCACACGCCTTGCTCAAACTTTCCTACTTCCAAGAGGCGATGGAGACTTACGAAAGAAAATTCCAGTGGTACATGACTCCACTCAGGACCTCATTGTCCTACAACTTCTTGAGGAAGTAAACAAGTTGAAGGCCGAACGTCAGGCCGAAATACCTGACTGGAACCAACCCAGGCCTGGCCCTCTCACAAGAAGGATCATCGACACCCCTTTCAAGCGAAGACAAAACAAAAGCTTAGTTTACAACTCTATACTGGAAGGGAGGACCCAATTGAACACCTTAACCTCTTTGAGTCCACCATGGTATATCGGATGCACACTGACGAAGAGCGATGTCTTCTCTTCCCCTCCACCATCTCTGGTGGAGCTCTAAACTGGTATTGCCGTCTTCCACCTGAGACAATAGACTCATTTGAGAAATTGAGGAAACTGTTTGTCTTTTAACATATCTTCCAGACCGATCACTTGCATTCTGCAGATGACTTGTACACTATTCACCAGAAGTCGTACGAGTCATTACGAGAGTATTCCGGTCGCTTCAGCCATGAGTATTCTCGCTATGTTAAGGCAGATGACAAGACCACCCTCAAGGCCTTCACGGCAGGCCTACATGATTGTTTCTTCAAGTACATGATCAATGCCAACACTTGGAAGACTT